TATAGATTAAGGGCTATACTAGAGGGTGTATATATTGTACTCGGTTTGTTACACTGCTGCATTAATGGGCATAAAATGCACAGATGTGGAGAGCACGTGGTGATGTTTAATGTTGTACTGAACGGGATGAAATGGTTCCTGCACATTGATTGACATCTGACTCGTAAGCATGCTGTAGTGGAGGTTGGTGTCATCACTGACTGCAAATTGGTTGACTAATGTTGTGTGCCCCGAGCACCAAAAACAAGAATGAAATACTCTGCGTCTGCGTCGAATGGCTCTGCTGCGCGTTTATTGTAATATTTGGTGCTACTTACCAATTTGTAAGATTACAAAGTGAAGGTGAAACCACTTTCTCTTGTATGCATTCACTTCTACTGCGTGCAATTGGTCTCCAATGCGCATTTCCCTTTTCTTGCTCTGCATGTCGTTGTCTAAAGCCCTGAGCAGAAGGCAGTGCAGGTTGCTTTGGACTGTCGCTGATGGTTGCTGTTAGCACCTGCAACCTGGGATGATATGTGTAGAGTTCTGACAGCATTGCTTGTGGCTCCACATCCAATAACCGTTAGAAGGATGCAAATGTCGGGAGTGCGCATCGAAACAAAGCATGCTGGCTTAGAATCACTGGAGTAACAACGTGGGGAAGCGTTGATGGAGGAGTAGGGACGGTTTAGGTGATGGCGTCGGCGCTGTGTGGCATTGCGATAGCAAAGAACACGACACCTGTGCCACAGCTCAGTCCACATCGCCCTCCTGCAAACACGTCATTCTGTACAGTGTGATCCGGACGTCATTTCCTTCATCCAACTCAGAGCAATTCACCGTTGTATCAAGCCGACGCTCATTGTTAACGTATTTGCAGGAAGAGGCGCAATGTTCGCATTCCCTTTTGCCGACTTTGGATTGCTGAGTCGAAACCATGGCTCATGCCAATGTGGGGAGTGTGCTAGTGCCAGTTTTATGCTCCAATCGAGCCAGATGTGGTGTATTGAGAGTTGTTGTGCTCTTTACCCAGTCGCTCCTTCACCACTCTAACAACATCGAGGGCCATGCAGACAGCACCTTGTACGTTATCAGCAACAACGGAATCCACGTAAATGGGTTCGGTAGCTAGAGAAACGCGAAAAGTCAGCGTCGCTGGACTACTACTTGTCCGTGCATAAGCGAGACGGAAGGAGGTAGAAACCGCTGTGGCTACCTTCATTACCGTGCCACCCCTACATGGCGCGTCTTCTGCAGATGACAATGCGGCATTGATGGATGACCGGTGGTCGGAAACGTAATTTGCCGATGCCTCTGTCCGTTGCCGTCACTTGCATAGGTCATTTCTGCAGCGTGTCGAAATCCACTCATCCCAGTAACCACATGGGAATGGGTTAGCAAGCAGCTGCACTCAGTTACAGACACCACCACCACCACC